GTTTTGGTCCTCTTTTGCATATTTTCCCTTAGCTTTTGTCCCATTTTCTTCTCCTTTTAGACTTAGGTTGCATTTAGAGTATAGATTGCATTTTTCTTGCATATTGGATGTTTTTAGGTGTTTTTGGAGCTTAAAGGAGCTTGGAGGAGCTTTGGGAATGATCCAGGAGGCTAGCTGGACAAAAGGGAGCAAGAAGGATCAAAGCAGAAGATCTATGCAGAAGTTTTCGGACAGAGCCTGGTGATTTTCGGTCTCTGGTGATCGAAATGGAGCAGTATCGATCTGATGTGGTCGACACAAACACACCGTTCTAATTTCGGTCGTGTGTGTCGATCACTGATGACCGATACAGATAAATTTCGGTCAGTGGAGGTCGACACAACTGACCGATACTGACCCAGCCCGAACTTGTTTTTAATTACACTTTTGCCACCTTTCTAGGGTTTTCTCCCTTAGGCTATAAATAGCCCCTTTTTCTATATTTTCGAGAGGTCTTGTCAAAATACTGTTCTTAAGCAATTTCTTTAAGTTTGTAAGACAATTTCTTTGCTTTGTTTAATACAATCAAGTATTTGCTTTAATCTTTCTTTAATCTTTCTTTTAATCATGATTAGCATCTTCTCCCTTTGTGATTTGGTGTTAAACATGATTATGAGTGAGTAGTTACCTTAGGATTTCTAGATGTGGTAGATTAGGGGAATCTATGGCTTGATTAAGGCTTGTTATGTGCTTCTGTTTATGGGTTCCTCTCTATTAATCTGTTATTCATGCTAGATTAGTCTTGATCAAACTGGTATAGGTTGTTAGCTTTCTTTTATGCCCACCAAGTGTTTGATGAAATGCTGAACCTGTTTAATAGAGGATTTGCTGGCCTTGGCTCAAGAGATTGACTGTTTAAGGAGCATTTTGACTTGAATAGAGTTGATTAGTCTTGCTTACTTGATGTTTTAGCACTAATGAGAGTTAGTTCTTGTTAAGATGTTTAGCAAAGGGTTATTTGCCAAGAGATTGGATCTAACTAGCTTAGTTGTGAATTCTATGTCTAGGAACCACCATTGCTTGCTTACTTGCTTGAACAATGAAGTTTGAAACAACCTTAATCAATGTCTGAAATTCCCCAAAGTCAATAACCACATCTAGGAACTTGTCTTTCCCTAATTTGAATTTCGAATTTGCTCTGTTTTGCTCTGTTTCACTCTGTTTTTCTTGCTTAGAATTGCTTAGTTTGCTTTTGCTTTCACCTTGTTGCTGCTTGTTTCACTTAGGTTGTTAGAACTGTTGCTTAGGCAACAAAACCCCTTTCCTGGCTTGATTGACTTAGAGATTCCACTCTCAGCTCTTCTGTCTTTCAACTCTTCCCATTTGGATTGATACAACCCTATGCTATACTGCAATTGACTAGTACAAGCTAGGGCAATTGTCCTACAAGGGGTAAAAACCTTGTATCACAAAACAATTTTAAAATCCCTGGAAGAGGGTTAACTACCACGAGGAACAAGAAAAAGATTAAAAATGCAAGGCTACTAAAAACTAAAAATAGACAAGTGAATCGACCACTGGATCGACCACTAGATCGAGCAGAATGGATCGATCTACAAGCAACTTAAACAGAAATGACTTTTGATGAACAGGATGCAACTGAATGGCAAGCGAATGATTAACAGAGATTTAAAACACTAAGAAAGAGGGTCTAGGGTTGAGGGTCATATTCATGGGTCTCAAAGATTAAAGCTTGGTTTGAAAACATTTAGATCTACTCTTTAGGAGGTTTCTCTAAGCCTTGAAAACAAAACAAGAACCATCCATGACGTGTGGTATGATTCACTCCCTCAATCTCTTCTTCAAACCCAGGGCGTGTGGTGGAAGAAGAGATCGAAGGGCAAGGAACACAGATTTCATACAATGACCTAACTAGTCCCCTTTACAACCATGGCGTGTGGGAAAGGAAAGACTAGCCTCTAGGATCTGATTTTCCAAGACATCTGAATCCTGTCAAGGTAAGACATCCCTTGGATCATAGAGATCTTGGCGTGAGACTCTCTAAGCCTTAAGTACTCAAGATCCTAGAAGAGAAGGTAATGAAGAACAAGAAAACTCAAAGCTTTAACCTTTTCAACACCTTTTGAATCGCCTCAACCCATCAACTCAAATGAAACTACTCGCTACATATAAAGAAAACCAAACAGAATGCAAAACATGATCTACTAAACATGATTAACGATTGATTAAAAGCAAAAGGTTCAATATTCAAAGTGCAAAAGCAAGAAAAGTTCTACAATGGCGAAAATCGCCTAAGCAAGAGGAAGAAGAAGACGAAAAAAGATAAAAGTGAAAGTGTGTTAAAAGCAGGATCGCCGCCTTCCCAAAGTGGACAAACAGCTCGATGGTCCCCCCTTCGCTAGAAGCCAAAAACGGTTAAAATAGCCTGGGATCAACCTCGAGATCGAGCACCTCATTCGATCATCTTCGGGAATCTCTTGCTTCAGCTCGATCTGTGTCTCGATCTTCTTGGACGGATCGAGTGCTTCGTCCTATCTTGGAGTCGATCCTTGGAGGATCGAGTGGTGGACTCGATCCGGCTCTCGCTCTGCGTGGCGTCATTTACGTCCGTACTCCAAATCGATCTCTTCACTCGATCTCGATCTCGATCAGTTTCCTTGAATCGGCTGGTTCACTCGATCTTCTGGTCTATCTCGACTAGATCGACCTGCCTTGCTCGATCCGCTACTCGATCTCGGGTCCTTAGCATGCACTCCTGATTTCTCCAAGTGTCTACGAGCTTTGCTGTGATCCTCCTCACGTACATGTAACCTCTGTGACTCCTTAGTGCTCCAAACAACCTGATAATGATGCATATATGGAAGAAACATGCAAAATGCGAATGCAAAGAGACCTAGAACCTAAAATGCATCAAATGGAGCAAACTATCTTATAATGCAAGATGAATGCATGAAAAACTATCCTAAATGCATGCAAAATACATAGAATATATGGTAATATCAGATATCGAAAGAACCGGACACTCTATCGACTCAGAGGAATCTTGACAGAGCTTTTACTGGTTAAACTAGATAAAACGAATCTAGAAGATGAAGTTATATCTCTAGGAATTCTCCTCTGCTACTGTTGGTGCAAGGAGTGTGTGTTTATAAGGGATATCTGAATTCGGGCCGGACCCGGGTTCGGGTCTTGGAATTTCCAGGTCGGGTTTCTGCTATTATCCTACTAGTAGTCCTTTGTTCACATCTTCGACCTGCCCGGACTCCTCCATGTGTGTAGTCAGAAGGGAGGTTGCTGACCTGCTCCGCCTCTCCCAAACCACCATCATTGTAGCCTTCCTTGGTAGGTGCAGAGCATTTAATACTTCTCAGGTTCCTAACGTTTCTGTTCCACACGCATTGGGCCTCATGGGCCGTAATTGCATTTTGCGGCCCAACAATGTGGATATAGTCTCTCATTGTAGATCGAAAATTTAGGATCAGAAATAAAACAAAAACTTAACTGGATAAAAAATAAACTATAATAAAATCAAACAAATATAAATAAGAAGTAGAAGTTAAAATAAAATTAACTTTCGACAGTTTAATTTTTTCGTAAAAATCTTGTGCTTTGATTAACAGAGTAATATAAAAATCTTAAGAAGTAAAATTTATAAATAATATATGTACACGTAAAATTTTATAATGAACACATGCGTGCAGGCTAACCATAAGAAATTTAATTTCTATATCAATCCTATTCCTCAATAATGGACGAAGATATGACCGGAGAGCTGCCAATAAATTTTATAAAATAGAGTTTCGCAAATTTTATAACAAATATTTATTATAATATTTTTGAAAAGGGAAAATTAATATTAGATTATCCAGTGTGCTATATTTATTTTCATAGTAAAGTAAAATATTATATTATTTATTTTAAAAATAAAATCTTAGTGATTTTTTTTTAATATTTAATATAAATTTTAATTTGAAATCGTATATCATAAAATACTAAAAAATAAATTTTTTTGATTAAATACAAAACGATAGAAACGATTTTCATGATTGTTGTTAAACGCCAAAAACTTCATCATGTAAAAAAACTTACATTTGCGGAAAGTTCGAAAAAACTATCCAACACCTAAATATCATAATTCACTTATTTCTAACCACTACATATATGGATAAATATACATATTTATTTCTCTTTTAAATTCAACAATATATTATAAAAATATATATTACAAAAGATACATTTTGTTATTGTCCTTTTACACATAAAAGTCTTACTTCGATTTTTGACGAAGATACATATAGATATGAATATTAATTGCTCAAAACTCGAAGTCGTATGCGAATCTGTCTTGCATACATTTTGTTAACTTTGATTACAATCCAATTTTAATTTGAATTTTTAAACAATTTATATTTTTTTTTGTAAAATCTCTATATATCCTAAGAGGGGTGAGATGGTTGGTACACACGAATATGCAGGTCAACCATCTATCCGTTCTTAGAATAAGTAAATATGATAAAACTCATTTTGGTTTAATTTACAGTAGGTCAAAAAAAAATACTTAAAGTATATATATTAGCAAGATTATATTATACAAGGGGAAAATAAAGCATAGTATATATATTATTCAAAATATATTATAAAAAAATAATTATTATTAAATATAACTTTAACATTTGTAATTATATGTCATTGTGAACGTTAGAAAAAATATAAAATTTTAAAATAAATCAATTTCAAAATATACAAAATAATATAAAATATTTGTGTGACTAATGTTAAATACTAAAACTGCGTATATATACAAATATAACATTTACAGAATGTATAAAAAAATTAATCAATACTTAAATATTATAACTAGTTGCTTCTATAAAAAAACTATATCCACATATGCGTGCGTACAAACTACCTAATTAAGTCATTAAATAGAACTTAAAAAAAAATGAAGATTTCACCTTAACTTTAGGTAAAAACTAAAACATATTAATTTTTGTTGATAATCCAAAATGCTTAAAATATTCTTCATTCAAAAAAAAAGTTTTTAGCACGAAACAATGCAAGTTTGATTACAACGCATTCTTTTATATTACTATGTTCTAGTATCCGATTCTTCAAATAATTTCCATTGATGCAATTTTTTTTTTTCTATGAATCGCTTAACAACAAAACAAGTCACCAAATTTGCTTCTCCGCAGTCAACAAAATCTCTTTACGCATCATAAAGACCGAACTTAACAGGAGAACTTGTGGCCTTAATCCAATCTCCTTGTAAGAAGGGCCCAACAGTATAGTTCAAAGCTTCATCCTTGTTTATGACTTTTAATCCAGGCCATTTAACCCTTGAAGTACTATCTCCACTTGATCCTTTGTTCCTGTACTCTGCATAATACAATGTATTTATCGCGAAATCGCTCTCTTGCCATCTCAACCATCCAACCGGATCAATTACATCCTCAATTGTAGATTCCATTATGACTGTTCGTGAGTAACTCTTCCACGGCCGTCCGAGATAACTCTTGTATTCTGACTTTACGGGCTTAAGATCTTCGTTTGCAGCAATTTTACAATTATGGACCACAAAACCGGTTGTCTGAAACTTATCGACACGCCCTTGAGCGGTCACTGTATTTGTTTGTCCAACTAAGCCCTTTCTGATAAATATGTTACAGTTCTGGAAGACGGCAGCTGCATCTCCGAATATAAAGTCGACTGTTCCAACTATCACACAACTTCTGTAGTACTGACGGTGTGTGTAAGCGTACAAAGTGTCTTGGTAGCCTTCGAATCGGCAGTTAAGAAAAATTGATCTATCAGATTGGACACGTATTGCGATCGCTTGATGTCCCTCTGGCCCAGCTGTATTACGGAACCCCATTGACTGTGCCATGAACCCTTCTCCTTGTGCAACTATAAAGAAAACCAATCATTTATGAGAATTCAGTTCTACATTGACATTTAAATTTAAGTTGAAATTTGCAAGTTATGTTTAATGACTATTTCTGTAGATGTCAAGACTAATAGGATATAGAACTAAAAATTAATTGGTGTTTTTTTTTTAAGAGCAACGAATTTGAACATGAATTGTGTGACACTTCAAAAACATCAACACAAAGCATTAGGTTATAATTGAACTCACTTTAAATTTGATTGAAAATTAATGTATATGTTCGTCTTTTATAAACAAAATTTTCTCTCCACTAATTTAATTGTACATACGAAATTTTCTTATCAAAGAATTAGAAGTTTTTACCAAATGTTGCTGTGAGAAAAGTGCGGACTTTTTTTGTGTGACTTTTGTTTCCAGTCACAATCGTCTTTTGTGATCCATCTCCGACCATAGTAAGGTTTGCCTTCTTCTTATCAACATTCACATATTCGTCATAAACACCTTGTTTGACGTAGATAATGTACCTTTAGATTTGAATTACATAGAAACCTAAAATTAGACAACCAAAGATAAATTGACATAATGATCACATTATGAAATGCTTTTGTCTGCATACCTTCCCTCATATTTTTCAGGCATTGCTTTAAGAGCATCATTGATGGTTGTAAAATTTCCACTACCATCTTTAGCGACGGTGGCGTTAGGCTTCAAAGCCTTCAAATCAACAGCTCTTAACATTCTTCTATCCTCAGTGCTTACCCAAGACGGTCTATCAAGAAGGTTTCGTGTTGTGGCCTTTGTAGTAGGAGAGTGATTCGCATCAAAAGATTTGAGCATCGCTAGCGAATTGCTTGTGAGAACCTGAGAAGAATTAACGCTCTTCTTAACTTCAGATTTTAGGTTTCCTTCCTCAAACCCGTCAACGCATGTCTCTTGATATGACATGACCGCGCTTAACCAACTATCCAAATCATGAACTATTTTTGCAAAGTTGTTGACTTCTGTGCCATTGACTTTGATCAGCGATGCAACGGTTTCCTCTTTTGCGTCTTCCACAAGAAGTTCACATTGCGCAATTGCATCTCTATCATCCTGGTTCTCAGTCTTGAGACTCATTACTTTCTCCAAAACTCGGTCAAGATCTTCATTGACAGCTTCAATGGCAGATTTCAAAAGCGTTCTCGGATTTGTCAAAGCAAAACCCTTCTCTGTTCTGTTCTTGAGCGTCTTCTCGCAGCATACCTTGTAAAGCGTTGAACTGCAAAGAGTTTGTATTATTTTATCAGCCTGGCCGGGATTCACTGATTGCGCTGCGGAAATAGGCACTTTCGGGGTTGGACTTGGTAACTGGCTCTGGTTATTTTTCTGGCTATCCTTGGCGTTGTTATTGTCGTTTTTGTTGTTGTTCTTCACTTGTTGTTCATTTTTCTTTTCATAAACAACGTAAGCAAAAGCTCCTCCAACAATAGCAGCAACAACCACAAGCAAAGAGACCATCCCAACGATGATCCTCTTCCTAAATTTACGTTTTCTATTAGCGTTTACACGTTCTTGGATCTTGTCAAAATCCTGAAACGCCATTTCAAATTTTGTTTTGTGTTTCGGAGAATTTTACTTGGGGAGAGAAAGAAATGAATCTCCTCTGCCTTAGAAGGCGGCCAAGGCAGAGAAGTTAAATCTATCCTTATTAAGTTTTATTTTTGGATCTTTTTCGTCTTCTCTCCCCTGTCTTTGATTCATTGGCTTTAGTTTTATTTGTTACTCTCTTGTTGCAATTTTTACAAATGAACAAATTTGCTCTGGACAGGAGAATTTTGTGGGATGATGTCAATTATTTTTTAACAAAAAACAAAAACCATGTCTTCTAAATTTGGCGTTCTTTTTCTAATCATATTGCTCACTACAATTGTTGGTCAAAACTCAAAAGAAAGTCAACTAATTTAGCAGGTTAGCTAAATGTTAATTTGTTTTGGTGTTTTATTAACTTTCTACGCCTAAATTTCAGTTTGGTCTTCATTATATCACCTTATTGAGAAAAGGCAACAACAATGGTTTTTAGGTGCATGCATACATGCGTATAAACTTCATAGATTATCTCACAACTTCAGAGATATATCTTATCAGGAAAAACGTTGGGAACCTAAAAACAAAAATGGAATACGAGTCTGATGATTTGGTGGTATAAGCTGATTTGTTCCCTCATGTTGTCCCCATACACACTTCCATCGCTTGACTAGTGATGAGAGATAAACTAGGCACACGAGATCGATGAGACAATGTGGCTTATTTGGTTCAGTCGTGTCCTGTATGTGGAGTAATTAACTAAACAAGATATCACTTATTTTTTGCTTGTCCTTACACATTCACGATCTGAAGTTTGAATTGTTCGAGTCTCTTATGCACGAGAATTAATCTAGAGTGGGGGATAATGATTCATTTATTGTCAAGTATTAGGGCAACAAAGCAGACTCTCTTACTGGTCCATTCAGCTTTGGAAACATAAGTTGTCCACTATCGCATCCGTACACCCTCCCCACGTCAGGACGAACAAACCAATGTTATGCTGACTTGCTGGTTAAGTGTTTAGTACCGGGGTTTGTTTACTTCAAATTTTACCTCTAATGATAGCTGCAAGTGCACTGTAATCAAAGTAGTATATTAAGAAAATAAATCCATAGAGATTGTTGTTTTGCAACGATCCTAAATTCTTTATATTAGATGTGATGAGAGTTTGTGATGGGAACAATTATTATTGAATCTCATGAACCTTACAATAATCGTTACATATGTTTATATAGGGAAGAGATACTAAAGCTAATTAACTTAGTTTCCATAGATACAAATCTATTAATTATTAAGAAACATATTTACAGATTTTCAAGATACTCCAGATCCTTCTATATGCCCATTCAATCTCAAGGGGATGGAAGTGGATGGAAATGCATGGGTCCAAGATGATGTATTGATGACATCGACAGAAGCGAAGGAAGAGATCTTGGTGATGGCCGGTATTGATGATATGAAGGTGGTGTTGGCTGTGAGTCAATGCAATAGGTAAAGACGTTGAGCCACGTTTTTCGTCTTCAGTGGTGAAGGAAGGAGGGGAGATGAAGTTTGTAGCTTGAAGAAGAAGAAGATTTTTTTTTTTTTTTCTTTTTTTTTTTTGTAATAAAGAGAGAATCGGAAATGAAAAATAAAAAATGGACGCTCGATGGCTTGGATTCAGAGGCACTTAGATTTGAATTAAAGAAGCACAAGACTTAGATTCAGAGGTCTATGATAGACTTGAATAAGAAAAAACTATATGGCTTAGATTCAGAGGTTCATGATGAACTTGAATATTGGAAACACTTGGTTGAATAAAAAACAAAATAAAAAGAAGCACAATAGCTTAAACAATATTTAAAAACCAGGAATAGAGCTGATCGTTAGATCATTTTAACTCTGATACCATAATAGATGTGACGAGAGTTTGTGATTGGAAAAATTATTATTGACTCTCATGAACCTTACAGTAAGCGTTACATATGTTTATATAGGGAAGATATACTAACTAACTTAGTTTCCATAGATACAAATCTATTAATTATTAACAAATATATTTACAGATCTTCAAGATACTCTAGATCTTTCTATACTTTCGACCAAACAAGTGAGTTTGGGGGTTTGTGTGTCATGGTTTGTAGTATGAAAATGAGCAAGGGATGGAAATAAAATGGCTGTGAATCAATGGATGGGAATTCTCCAGAGTTCATGGATTGGATCAAATTAGTGATAGACTAAATTATTTTTGTGACTTGGCCAGCTAGGTTGGGTGGTTATTGCGTGATGGGAGGTGAGAAGATACTGCATCATTTACTTCATGTCATTATCATGGGGGTGAAGGATCGGATGAAGGTTTCTGTTTTTGTAGCTGTCTCTCCCCTTCTTGTTGTTGAACATTTTGAACTAGAAACGGTTGCTGAAGCTGAGATTGGCGGAAAACATCATCCATTCTCTCCTTCATCACTTTCACCTCAAGCAATGTGACCTCTAGTTGAGAGGATAGTAACTTCGAAGTTCCCTCTTGCTCCTCGCCATAATGTGCATTTCTGTGAGCTAGATTCTCAATCAAAGCCAAACCATCATCCACATCTTTGACCAAATATATTATCTTTACTAGCAGTATCAAGGAGTAGTCTCATCTTAAGCAAGATACCTCTATAGAGTGTGGACAAGAGTGCTTCCTTTGTAAATCCATGATGAGGACATTGGACTGTGAAGCTTCTAAACCTTTCCCAAACATCTCCAAAACTATCATTAGGCCATTGGCTGAAGTTGTAAATCTCATTCCTAAATCTTACTGTCTTAGAGAGAGAGAGAGAAAATAACTTAGTGAGAAAGGCACTCTTACATTGAGCCTATGTTGTGATACTCCCTTGCAACAAACTTTTCTCCCATAGTTGATTTCTATCTCCAAGTGAGAAAAGGAAGAGTCTTAGCTTCAAACCATCATCAGATATACCACTCATCCTAACCATAGAGCAATTCCTCTCAAAATTGTTAAGATGATCAAGAGGATCTTCATTGGCATCCCGAAGAATCTGTTGTCTTGGACCATTGAAATCATCCATTTTCTGATCTCAAAGTGAGTGTCCTCTATAGGAGGAGCTATCCCATGTCTTAAAGCAAAGGATGTTGGGAAATCGTCAGCTCTTATAGGTCTTAGTGGCCTTTGATCTTTCAAACCCCAATCACCTTGTAAACCATTTGGACCTTGCTGTCCTTGCAAATCTTGTATCCCTTGTGGTCCTTGGATCCCTTGATACAATATCAAAAATCAGTAAATCAAAGATCTTCAATATGTGAATTATTATTAGAATCTGTTCTTCATTTATAAAGTCAAAGGATTCTCATTCAAGTCTAAAGCAAGATTGGTGGCTAGAAGACCATTATTTGATTTAGCTTATTTTCTCCTTTTGTTTAAATGTAAATAATTTAATTTAAATGTAATTTGTTGTAAAGATTCTTTGTAAAAGCTATAAAAGCTCATTGTTCTCGTTGTAAAAAAATATAGAAATTTTTGGAAATTAAAAGAGATTTTTCTCTAAAGCTTTGGCTTTGTTTTTCTTTATCTAAGAAAGATGGAATTCTTCACTTAGTAATCATTTGAATCAATGTCTTTTATGTGCGATGCCTTGAGACTATGTTTGTGAATTCATCACAGTGGCTTTCACACCCTTGAGTGGCGTCCTTCGATCCACCCATCTATTCATCTCATCCACTGATCCAGCCTGAAAGAGACTTGAGTCTAGCAGGATTGATTCCATAATCATCCACTTCGATCATCTCTTGAGAAAGTAGATAGAGACTTCTGTCCAGCTGTTTGCTTCCACCCATTCACCCAAGCATTATAAGATCATACCCCTTGATCTTATATCATCCCTTGTGGACCTTGAAGACCAAAACCAGTAGTATGTGGATGCTCTTCCATACTACAACAACTGAAAACTGCTGCTGTGAACGCAAAATCCGGCGCCTTGGACTAGTTGTGTAGCTGTAGACACCTTAGAGCAAGTGTTGTGGTACCTACAAAAGAGATTCTAGTCCAAAAAGAGCAGTTAGTAACCAAAAACGAAAATGAAAGCTTGATGTCAAACAATCTACCAATCCTAATGCTTAGAACAATCCCAAATGGCAACGATGCCAATTTGATGTAGGAGTTTACTCTACTTCAAATCGTAACACACTCATGTTATTGCAGCATGTATTGTATCAATCTAAATGGGCAAAGTAAGCAATCAAGATTTCAATAGACTATCTAATTCAAACAAGCAATGATTAGATAAAGTGAAATGCGATTCTAATAACTAGAAAGACTTCAAATGAACTAAAGCAGGACAACAAGACCAAGAAACTAAGGAAGTTCGAATTCAAACAATCAAAAGACTAGTAGGCTTGAGATAGGGTAATCGTTCATAGGAGACTTTCAGTTTAACTATTGATGCTTACAAACCCCACAACAAGCTAATCTTAGGAATAGAATTAACAGCTATGACTAGCTCAATCCCTTGAATACTTATCACTTTGCTAAATACATATTCAAGACAATTTCAATTATTGAAATAGATTATCAACAAGTATTAAGAGCAACTAATCCACTTCTATAATGCCAATTTACTCCTTAGACATCTAATTCCTTAGGCTAAGATAATCAAATCTCTTACTTCACACATTCAGGCATGTAATCAAACACTTATGAGGCATAAGAGAACCCTATGATCTAGATCAAATTAGCTAAGGCTAATCTAGCATTGAACATAATCAATAAGAAGGAGTAATAACATTAAGAACTAAGCAATCCCTAATTAGGCCTCAAATCTCCTTATCTCTGTCCCATATCAAACCCTAAGCAACTACTGACTAATAATTATGGCCTTAGCCAAAACCCAAGGTAAAGGAGAATGACTAATCATGATCAAATGAAGATAAACACCAGATTTGATTGCAAGAACAAGATTCAAAACGGAAATTACAAGGGTTCAAAGGGAAAACACAAAGGATAAAGCTAATGTCTAAATGATAAAGATGGAAAAAAAGATCCCCAATGTGTACGGGTCACAACATATATATAGTTTTCAGGAAAAACCCTTAGTAAACCAGAAATAAACCGGAAAATAGCTGGATCAGACGCCTTGTATCGACCTGTTTCATCGATACGCTGGTCGATATGGGTCCGTTGCAGGTTGTATCGACCAAGTCTGGTCGATACACTAATCAGTACAGTTGGCTAAAGCTTATCGGCTTGTCTCCTCGGTA